TATATATATATATAGTGATTTATTTGGAAATTTATTTCTCATAGTTTTGGTAGCTGGGAAATCCTGGCAGATTCCCCTTCACTCCCCCTCCCAGTCTCTTCCTCCCCTATACCTCCACATCCCCCTTTCCTGTCCCTCCTTCTCTTGCTAGCCCCACCCTCCAGCCTCCACATTCTTGGACAGGGTACTGCTCACTTTCTTGGAGACCGTACTCATATGATAGGTGATCTCTGGGAGCGAAGGAACCAGACCACCACCATCTTAGCCAGATCACAGGCCACAGCCATTTCAGGCCCTCTCCTCTCTTAAGATTTTCTTTTCCAGAATAGACTTTCCAGTCTGACAGGGGCCAGTAACCAAAGTTTCATCCTCACCTTGGAAAAAGCCAGTGCAAGCCCAACAGTCAGGACCACAGCCTCAAAAACAAGCCTATCTCAAAAGTAGCTATAACTTCCTCTTACAACCCTATAAAAACACCATATCCGGTGAGAGACCGCACAGGTCAGTCTAATTGTCAACAGCTTTAGTACACAGGAGATTGTGGCTGAGGAATTCGCTGCCCTATACCCAATTGAGCTCAAGCACCACCCTAAAGCCAGACCTCCCTAATTACTCCCCTCCACCCACATTAGGAACTTTGCACACCCCAGACCAAAGCACGTGCAGTCTCTCTTTGTTCCTGTCTCACTCTTGAGCCTGATTCATCTACATGATGTACAATGTGTTTTTTTTTTCACCCCAGCACCATTTCTCTGTTCTTAACCTTCAGTAAACATAACTGCTTTTCCCTCACCATCAAGTGCTCATCATACACAAGCATTTGGAATCTGCCGAATCTACCATGAGGTAACAGTCCCTCCCAGATTTTAACTCCAACAAAACCTGTACTGCCAATTCTTTTTCTTTCGTTTTGTTGGTACCAGGGATCAAACTCGTAACCTTGAGCTTGCAAGGCAGGCAGTGGAGCCACTGAGCTAGATCCCCAGCCCCAATTCTTTTTCTTGATGCTTCTATTTCTCACCCTTTTTCCTAACAGGGGGTCCATATATCTTCTCAGCAAAATGAGAGACCACAGCTCAGGAAGCTGAGATTCTGCAGGAGGCTGGCTGAGCCCCTCTGAGGGAGTTACAAAACCTCAAACTCATCCTTCATCACCTTCTGTTGGAGAATTTCCTTCCTGGCTCAGCTGCCTACACCCACTATAGCCCAGGCCTATCTCACTGGCTATTCTAACAGAGTCTGTACGGAAGGTTGCTTCAAATTCCTTTACAAAAGCATTAAATATGTAATGAGGGTGTTGTGCCCAAGTTGCAAAGTCCCCAAAGAACACCAAGGAGTCAGGTCCGATGCAATCACAAGAGGAGTTTATTGTAAGCTCGGGCCTGGACCCTGGGGTGTCACTATCACAGTGGCTTCAGACCGAGTCCAGACCCATCTTTGAAGTAGGATTATATAGGGTTAGGGAGGCTCTCCTTTTTATAGATGCTATTTTTATCTTTTGTTTATTCTTGGATATTTGAGAGGTACTGGGAGGGCACTTATTGGAATTGGGAGGGAACCTACTGAAAATTACTAATATCTACATTCGCAGAAATCAGTTCCTCTTTCTAAAGAACATTTGATTAATCAATTTCTATAATTAACAAAGTTACTAATACTACCTATGTTAGCAAAATCGGTTCTTTTTAAACATTTGATTATCCTAAGCAACTATTGGAAAGATTCATCTTTGGATTATAAAAAGAGGAACAGAAACACAGGGTGGAGGTAGTTTAAGACAGAGAGCTGCTAAAAATTACAGATATCTGCAAAAATCCAAAAAGAGGAACAGAAACACAGGGTGGAGACTGTCATACAGAATGGAATTTTTGCAGCTCTGTTCTGGGCAAAGTGCATAGAGGGAACCCACCTCAATTTGAAAATTTGGTCCTTACAAAGGGATTAAGTAGAAAGGTGTTTAAGAAAGGGGTGGATCAGCCAGGGGCTTTGATAAATCCTGTGGCTCTGGGAGGAGCTCAGAGACCTACTCCTCCCTCTCCAGTCTGCATTCCTTCCCACCATGGATTTGAGCAGCACTTCAAGTGGTAAGTTCTGAGCAGCTCTTTCGCTCTGTGCTTTGATAATGCCAGATGCCTTGTCTACCGTTGAAGAAAGGGAACTGTGTTAAGGGATCAATGAGTTTTGAAGTTGAAAACTTGAATCTCAGATATAAAGTGGCAGCCATGCATACCCTATGTGGATCATCAACCAAAAGTTTTAAAGTTAACACTTAAAGTGGAGTACACTTTATACATACTGTTTAATTTTGTAAAAATGTATTATTTTTCACTACAAAGGACCTCTGTTTTGTTTAACCTTTTTATTTGTCTCATGAGTTTTACGTATTAGGTTTCTTCCTTCCAGTTTTATTTTCTTGGTAATTTTCTATATGTTCTTGCTTTAGAAACTTTGATAATTGATTATCATTTTCCTAATATATGTTTAATTATTTAATATGTCTAATGTAGCTGGCTTTATCTGTATACCTATGGTAAAAACAGAGTAATAAATGGATAAACAGGCTTTCAACGTGAAACTAACATAAGATACATGCTCACACTGCAGTTTTGAACCTATTAATATATCCTTTGTTCAAATGTTCTCCTCTCTTCATCTGATACACTACTAAAAAAAAAAAAAGAAAAAGAAATCTGGAAAGGCAAGATAGTTTACAACCAGATCCAAAAGGAGATCCTCCTAGCATGGTTTAAACACAATCCTCACCCGGATAAAGTTACCATGGAACGACTGGCACAAGAAATCGGTGTTCCAGCATCTAAAATTAAGGTAGGCATTAGATTTCTCTTGTCACATCAAGGGAAAGAGAAATGCTAGGCTCAGTACTTTCAGGCAGTTCTCTGATGTCGCATACTTCACTAGATTTTTCTCCTATTTTATAGAGCTAAAAACAAAAAATAAGAACCACTTATATCTTTCACCAAAGGTAGAAATATCATTGGTGGGTATTTATTGATGAAGGGAGAATATACTAGCTAAGGCTCTACTCATAACTACGTTTTGAAATGATTGGATTTTTTTGTTTTGTTTTGTGCTTGAGACAGGGTCTGCCATGTAGTTGAGGCTGGCCTTTAACTCACTATGTAGGGCCCAGGATTTAGCTCAGTGGTTCTGGCTCCTGCCTCACAAGCACAAAGTCCCAAGTTTAATCCCTGGTATGAAAAAAAGAGAGAGGAAATGTGGAAATGGATCATTATGATACTGATGTGATGTCCTTAAACATTCGAATATATATTACCAAAAAGGACTGATATGTAGTAACAAAGAAACTGTGGGATAAGATCTTGTGTAAATTCCCAATTCTGATACTAGTTTTTTTTTAAATGTAACGTCTCATTGGTAATTAATACTCAAGGTTTGAAGTAAAATCCCATAATGAATTACTTAGAATAAAATTACGGATATAAAATGAAACTAATGTCTTCAGCTATCAGATTTTTCTAAAAAGAATATAATTATATCAGGTGGAAATAGTACTTAAAACAATGAAGATCAGGTAAGAATGTGTTTTGAGAGGAAAATAAGTTCTGGTTTTTCATTAAATAAGCCATTGGCTATAAAGGCCTCATCTAAAGGATATAAGGGAGAAGATGTTTTCCTTAACTCTTTATGTATCTGAACTGGGTGTGGAAGACAGTTATTTCAGATCTCTCTAATAAAAGTACATCCTATAGGAACATCTGGCAATCGGTTTTGAGAGGTATTGGGCCCACTTGAACTAATGGTGAGGACAGCAGGTCCAGGAGACAATGTAGGATGAAATTGGTTCTCCCATAGTGTACTAATCTATTCATTAGTTTCCCATTTCTAATGTGCTTAAGATCTATCTGAAAATATCTTCATTAAGACATAAGATATAGGTACTGGTTGTCATTAACATCCTAAATCTTTTTAAGGATTATCTAAAGGAAACACTCAGAAATAATTAGAAAGCATGTTGTAGTTCCAACTCCAGGGATGAGGAAATGCGCAAGGATTTCAGATGGTTGTGTTATTGCCTGCTTAGGCTCATAGGCAGGTTCATTTGCTCTTTGCTGACTAAATCAAATGTGGCCACTTATTTTGGTAAAAAAGGACTTATTCAGAGCCGGGGATTTAGCTCAGTGGTCCCACCACCTGCCTCGCAAGCACAAGGTCCGAGTTTGATTCCGGTACCCCCAAAAATAATTTATTCAAAGCTATCGGATAATAGACCTGTTGGGGTTTGGTTCATCCCTTCCTGGACTCCTCCTGTCATCTCCCTCCCTTCCCTGGGGGGAATGAAATTGGACTTTGACCTCCTGGTACAAGCACCTGCAGATTTTGATCAGTTTTCTGGACTGAGAGGTGGAGATGGGGTGGCAATATACTCCCTAGGCCTGAGGAAGTTTGGAGAAGCCACTGTGTCTAAAGGAAAAAAAAAAAATCTTTACTTTTGAAGTTCCTTTTTTAATTTTAATTTTTTTTTTTTTTTTGAGACAAGGTTTTGCTATGTCTTCGAGGCTGAGGCTGACCTTGAACTCATTATGTAGTCCAGGCTGGCATTGATCTCATGGTGCTCTTTTTGCCTCAGCCTCTCCATTGCCGGGATTATAGGCATGTGTCACCATGCCCAGCCTAAAGTTCCATTTTGAGGCGCTGGTTATGTCAGTGACAATAGTGACAAAGTGAGATGTTCAGTCTCTAGGGGTCTCCTGGTCTGTCACTGATCCTTGGATGAAATAAGTAAAAGCAAATATGGATGAGTGTTAGCATGACTCTTTAGTGTGACTAATACTACCATCCTATTTAATGGCGTCCCTTTATGATCAATTCTACATGTATTATATATTACGAAGTGACATTTCCTTTGAAGTTATGAGGGGGCCAATAAAAGGCATTCCAACACTACAGTCCTGCTAGGAAAGAAAGAAACAGGTCAGGGTTTTCTTTGAGAGAAAGTCCTGAGATGATCCGAAGAGAAATGTTCATGCGAGTTGTGCGCAGTCCCTGGGTGCTTCTGAATTGTGTGCCAATAGTAGCACTATTCCTAGATTTCAAGGGCAGGTGGTTCAATCAGTTTGGTTTAATTGGACTGATGGAATGGCAGGCTGAGTTACATTACTTTTGCATCTTTTCCTACTTAGAATTGGTTTAGAAACCACAGATGGAAGCATTTGAGATCTACACCCCTGAAACATGACCAGGTGAAGCCGTGGACTCAAGGTGAGAGCTCAGTGGTCTAAACACAGCTCCTCAGTGGGGCCCATGGAGAGTAGAAATGACTGCATGTTGTACTCTGATTCTCCATAAAGGTTCCTTAGCTTATGAGCCAGTTACAGCTTGCTCTGGGCACTCTAGTGTCAAAAATATATATATGCTGGCCTGTAGTTATATATAAATATATAACAACACAATATATATGCTGGGACAGGCAGGTTCTTAGCAAGCAAGGCTTTGGCTATTTGTGGTTTGTGGCTCCTTGCCAGCACAGTGACTCTCTCTTAGGTCCCTCAGGGGGATTCCAAGAGTAAGTGTTCAGCATTATGGTTTGAATTTGAAAACTGGCCTAAAACCCCCTTTTGTTCCTGTGCTCTCCTTTAGAATGGTTAACAAAAGCCAGCCAAGAGTTGATGGCCCTCACAACAACTCAAAAAAGGATCCTAAGTCAGGCCTTTCAGAGGGACCCATTCCCTGATCCTGCTACCAGGAAAAAACTGGCTAGCCAAATAGGCATTCGGGAATCCAGAATTCTGATGTGGTTTCAGAATCAGAACTCTTCGTATTCTGAGCAGAGAAGGGAGGGGCTGAATCTCCTGGTAGAAAGCACAAATGAGAGACCACGGAATCCAGAATTCTGGTAAGTTAGCCTGGATGCTGACCATGCTTATAATGTCCTCACTCAGGGATGCCGTGCCATGTGGGCATTCAGAGGGTGGTGACACAGGTAGTGAAGGAATTTACCCATGGGCAAGGACTATAGGAAAGACAAGCATTTTATTTACATCACTGAGTAGGCTCTCAAGATGGACAGTGGACAAGTTTGCAAGAGAGGAATCTTGCAGCCAAGGTAAGGTGGTTGTTTTTTTTGTTTGTTGGTTGGTTGTTTTGATTAGGTTGGGTTTAGGTTTTTCTGCTTGTTTGTTTGAGGCAGGGTCTCACTATGTAGTTATGGCTGGTCTTAAACTCACTATGTAGCCCAGGCTGGCTTTAAACTCACAGGGATCCTCCTGCCTCAGCCTTCCAAGTGCTGGAATTATAGTCAGGCACCCCCCCACACAAGAGTGGGGTTTTTATAAGGGAATAAAAATGTGGGCAAGGGAAGGGTCTGAGTTAGCAAATGTAGATAGCTTAGAAATGTATTTACCAGGACATCCTATTCTTTGTTTCTTTTTCTTTTTTTTTTATTGGGAATCGAACTCAAGGACTGGAGCTGGCCAGGCAGGCACTGTACCATTGAGCTACATCCCTGGCCCCTGTTCTTTGTTAATCTTACAGGAATACCTGTATTATAACTAAAGTTGCAAATTGTCAAGGCCTCTTGCTTATACCTCCAAAAAGGCTCTTGAGATTGAGATAGTATTGTTTTACCTTTTTGGGGGAAAGATATAACATTAGCTCAAGGGAGAAAATGATTTTTTTTTTAATTTACTTTCATCTTGTGCTGTTTTTAGTCCTCATTAGTGTTTCATGGCTATGCAGTAGGATTGCTGGGCAGAAGTATGTTATCAAAGAAGTTTGGGTGCTGAGAATTTTAACAGTTTGTCACCACAAGGGGCTCAGGAGGCTGACACATGAGAATTGCAAATTTAAGGACAGCTTAAGCCACACAGTGAGACACTGTCTCAAAAACAATTCTAGTGAGTTACATATTTGTGACGCCAAATATGTCCCATCAGTAAGTGACGTTGCCCTGAAGGTGTTCTGGAGACTCCTGCTATTTGGGGTTATTATAGTTACCAAGGAAGGGCAGCAATCTGGGCAGAACTGGGCCTGGTAGTGCACACCAGCACTCTGAGAGGCTGAAGCGGGAGAAGGGCAAGTTCAAGCCCAGCCTGGGCAACTTAGTGACGTAGTAAGACTCTGTCTCAAAATTAAAAAAGGGCAGGGCTGGGGATTTAGCTCAGTGTTTCTGCCGCCTGCCTCACAAACTCAAGGGCCCAAGTTTGATCCCCAGCACCAAAAAAAAAATAAAATTAAAATAAAAAAGGGCGGTAGATGCACCTTGTGCAAAGGCCTTGGGTTCAATCCCCAGTACTGCAAAAAATATAAAAATGTTCTGGGATGGTAAATACCCAACCCTATACATCATATTCCTGCAAAGGAAGATTTTTCCAAACCAAATCGGATAGATTCATTTTAAACAGGAAAAATACAGGGAAACCTGACAGTTAATATCTTTTGGGTTATTTTGAGACAGGGTATGCAGTTGAGACTGACCTGGAACTCACTATGTAGCCCAGAGTGGTCTTGAACTCACAGCAATCCTCCTGCCTCAGCCTCCCGAGTGCTGGGATTACAGGCATGTGCCACTACACCCAGCAAGTTAACATCTATTTTGAAAAGCCTATTAGGTTTTCTAACACTTTGGCAGTGTTGTCTTTCGGGACAAGATACTTCTTATGAGGAGCTGCCCTGGGTATATTTTTCAGCATTCCTGGCCTCTGCCAATTAGGTACCAGTAGAGTCCATGCCTAACTCCCCTACTCCTGTTCATGATAGCCAAAAAGCTGTATAGAATAGTCAAGTGTCCTATACTTGAAGGACAAAATCATCCCCATGGACTACCCTCTACCTAAGTGATAGTGACAGTGCTTTCATCCGTGGTAAGTGCTCAAGACATAAGAAGCACAGTCATGGGCTTTGTGGCATAGAAACTCCCCAAAACACTTATTGTGTTTATTAACCCTTGATTAGAGGTCAAGATCACATCAAATACACACACCCACACACACACACACACACACACACACACACACACACACACACAGAGGGGATGATCAAAATATATGATGAATGCTTAAATTTAAAATTTTAGATTAAATTTAAAAGAGGAGTATGGAGCAAAGTTGGGTCAAGGTCTGTGGCAGAAGCCAGGCTGCAACAGGGTAAAAAAAATAAAATATATTACACTAAAAGACACAATGCCATTAATACCCCTCAAAATCTTCTCCCTCAATTTCAGCACTCTTAGACCATTGTTTTTATCGCTTACTGAAGCAATTCTGAAAGTCCTATTTTGTGACCATCTTTACAAGGCCTGATCAAAAGTATGGTGAATGCAGCTGCCAAATGCTATCCAACAGGAAAGGCAGGCTTGTGAATACACGACAGTGTGTCTTCCTCCACCTTAGTCATGGATCTAGCACCATGCTGCTTCTGGCTCTTCCTCAAAGTCAAAATGACCATGAAAGAGGGGCCGGGGATTTAGCTCAATGGTTCTGGGGATTTAGCTCAGTGGTTCTGCTGCCTGCCTTGAAAGCACAAGGTCCTGAGTTAGATCCCTGATACCACAAAAAAAAAAAAAAAAGACCCTAAAAGGTAAATGTTTTGGGTTGAGTCTGAACATCAAGGCAGCCAAGACAGCCCAGCTGAAGACACCCAGAAAGACGATGTCCAGAGCTGCTTCAGATAGTGACGGATAAGTAGTTCTGAAGTGAAGAGTACTTTTGAGGAGAATTAATGACAATATGGTTTTTACTATAATTTTTAAAAATTTAAACATTCGCCATATTTTTCAATCACACCTTGGTATAAGCGCCCTGTGAGTAGACTTTACATTAGTAGCCCCCTTTCTTTTGTTTGTTTTTGTGTCCCTGGGGATTGAACCCAGTGTCTTCACACAGAGCTACATCCCCAGCCCTTTTTTTTTTTAATTAATTAATTTTTTTGGTACCAGGGATTGAACTGGGGACCTCGTGCTTGCGAGGCAGGCAATGGAACCACTGAGCTAAATCCGCAGCCCCCTTTTTATTTTTTGATATAGGGTCTCACTAAGTTGCTAAGTTTTCCATGCTGGGCTCAAAACTGTGATCCTCCTTTCTCAGCTTCAAGAGTGTTGGGATTACATGTGTGCACCATGGCACTTGGCAATAGCCCCTTTTCTTTAGAGTATAAGAAACAGAGCTAGAATTGCTTGTTTCATTATGTTCGTGTCTCCCTTTTCCTCGCTTTAGATGTGGTTTCAGAATCAGAACCCTTCGTATTCTGAGCAGAGAAGGGAGGGGCTGAATCTCCTGGTAGAAAGCACAAATGAGAGACCAAGAGTGTTGGTTACATGTGTGCACCATGGCACTTGGCAATAGCCCCTTTTCTTTAGAGTATAAGAAACAGAGCTAGAATTGCTTGTTTCATTATGTTCGTGTCTCCCTTTTCCTCGCTTTAGATGTGGTTTCAGAATCAGAGAA